AAAGTTTTATTTACCTAATTAAAAGTCCATTTAATTAGAATAATTGTATTGTAAGTCATTGATTTAAGTTCTCAGATAACTGTATGCACTTTAGTTCATTCATGGAGTTTGTAAATACATACATTAAAGTATAAACTTATACTTTTTAATAACACTAATTACAATTAAAGCCGGTAAATTTAACCAAATTTACCATCAAGCGTTTTCACAAATACAATTATTTTTAACTATTCAATACATTCATTAAAGCCTAGATCTAATATCATTGTCTCAATGATTTTCATTCCGGAGGTTTGTGTGTAAGTTATTTAAACGGAATTTATAAAGAAACTAATTCATAAACTTTATGGCATATAATTATGTTTTATATTCCTATTCTTAGAAATTTATTATATTTTTAACACATATATAAAATTGTATAAATATTATGTTTGAAATTCTAATATTTTAAACATTTGTATTACAAAATGATTGCAAGTATTTTCATTTCAATTTGTGAAAGTTGTTTAATATTAATTTATAAATTATATGAGTAAATAAACTAACAATAATAACCAATTTAACCAATATCAAACTATATTCTGTTCCAGTGATCAAATGTTTCTTAATTTAATTAAAAATTTTGTGTGAATGCAATTCAGTAAACATTTTGAAAATGTCTGAACCAGAAGTTAGTCGCGAAAAGTTTACTAATAAATTTGAATACTTCTTGACTTCACTCAGTTATGCCGTGGGTTTGGGTAATGTCTGGCGGTTTGTATTGAAACAAAACTCATTTTACGGCACATTTGATATATTAATTTTGTTTACAGATTCCCGTATTTGTGTTATTCAAACGGTGGAGGTTTGTATCCTAAATGAATATTATATGAGCACATAATATATTTTATAAAACTATCTTTGTTATCATTTTTAGGCTCATTCTTTATACCATATCTCTTGAGTCTAGCATTAATTGGTTTCTCCTTTTTTGTATTGGAGTCATCGATGGGTCAGTACTCAAGCGAGGGTCCGATGACTGGTATGTCTAAAACGGTACAAAAAACCATTGATTTAAGCAATAATTTTTACATAGTGTGGAAAATATCGCCAATGTTTAAAGGAATCGGAGTTGCAATGTATTGATTATTGTAGTGTTTTGCCAAAAATATTCAATAAAAATAACATTTTTCAAATAATAAAAATAAAGGTTTGTAATGAATACATACGTTGGCATATACTACAACATAATAGTGGCATGGGCTATTTATTTCATATACGCCACATTCACCGCTCTGCCGGGTGTGCCCTGGAGTACGTGTGATAA